GGATCGAAACCGGGCGTCAGCTGACCCCTGGGTTCAACTCACTTTGGCGTGAACTAAGGTCTTGGGTCAGCGAGTGCCCTTTTGAGCGCTCAGTTGCACTGAAAATCTCCTCTCTCATCACGTCATTACACTAAGAGGCCAAGAATTATAGAATTTTAATCATTTTCCAAGTCGCCAGAGCCAATTCTTTGTGCATGTTTATCCCTGTTAGTTGGGGTCAACGCCAGGGAACCAATGGCGCTCCTGACCCCCATAATCCAACCCTGTTTCACAGCCACCCCATCGACCGTGAGGATCTGCCCGTGTGCCTCCCCCTCCGTCCCACGGCCACGCATTCCGCTCATCTAGCCGCTCCGTCATTTGTCCTGTTATAGGACCAACCAGACTATGTGGGTCACAAAAACCTCATTTGTCCGACACGGCTTTCTGCGCACATTGGCGCGACACCTTAACAACCTGGTTGAGAAATCCATTAAATTACTCTCTTGGGTACTTCGGCCCGTACCTTACCACATCTGGGGAATCGGATGATATTGCTCTGCTGTTGGGTAGTCCCCTTTTGACTCTAATCAGTAGATTCCTAAGAATTTTTATTGGATTTAAAATTAATAGAAATCTTTTGCAAAACATCGATTATCTGTACTCAGTAAAAGGTTGATCATAATTTACGTAGTCAAATTTTTTCATCGGGGCGTTGCCTCGGTTCATCCACCCACAGTGGGCGTCCAGGACACGAGGTCACGTGAATCAACGGTGAGTCATAACGACCCAGAACCATTGTTTCTGATCATGCGTGAATTTTTGTGAAGGTTGTGATTTCACCACAATTCTACCATCAACTGAATTCCCCCAAACTCTAGAAGGGCGCGCGTTACATTTTGGAAGGGTCTGTAGCCCAAGCGTATGTAGTGGACACCGTTTATAACGGTCCCAGCCAATAAAAAATGTTGTGGCGATCACCAAGCCAGCACAGTCAGTATTCGTGAGCGAACACAAATCAATCGATTTTTTTTCGTGAATGCTCCAGGATGGACCTTTTAGAATACTCAGACGAGATGAAGAGGTTTTCATCGTCGAACGAAATGGCAAAGAGGGTGCCGTGCCTATTGACCGCATCAAACCAGCATTCCTCGACGCGGAGACGCCGCCAATCAACAACCACGTGGCGCAGACAACTCTTATTCCTTCTGACAATAAAGAAACGATTATCACTACACGCTAGGGTAGACGCGTTCATTGGCCTGATCGTTACACTGCCTAGTACCCACTTGTTTTCAAATCCCGACCATCGTCTGTCTTATACATGATTCACCTCGACTTTTTTTCGAATCTCGCCTGGTTTATCGCAATTTGGTTTCATTTTTGCCTAACTCGATTCCGTTTTCGACTCCCAAGTGCTGGCTTCCATGTTCCAAACTCTTCTAGGACACCGCTGGTCGACTGCACAATACCTACCACCCACCCATGAAAATTCCTGTTGAAAGAAAATATGCGCCAAGTCCTTTTACCAAGGCGGAGAACCGTGACGGGCAGCAAGCCAGCACAGCTAGCAGGCCTGAGCGGACACGATTCAATCGATTTTTTCGTGGATGCGCCTCACGCAACCGCGTGCGTTCAGCGATCGATATTTAGCGAAGCCGTATAAACGCACCTGCTATCCTGTACACACACACACACCTCGCTACCGCCTTAATAAATTAGTTCAACGACTCGCCATCTGCATTTTCTGACTCCTCCTCTCGGTAGGGCCGTGTCATTGTAGATTGTCGGCCCGTGTGTGGTTCCCCAAAATCGCTCCGGGGCCCACTACAAGGTCTATATTAACTAGTAGCCGAGGGGTTTTAGCTTCAAGTCGACCCAATTCGGAACGAAGATGGCCACATCCCTGATTCTCCGAGCTGCTCAAATGGAAATCAGCCTTGCTCACGACGTCATTGTTTGCAGAATGTCTGAATCATCCACAACACCCCGTCAGGCCACATCCAGACAGATCGCTCGGCCTCCAGCTGAGACATTCAAAGCTCTCTGCAGGAGGTCTTTCATCAGCTCGGGAAGGTGAGGTCTAGCATCAGACAAGGGATCTGGGGTACCGGTAGCTTGAGCGTGCGGTTCAGTAGGCGATCAGATCATCCGCACCGATCGTAAAACCCGATCAAACTGTCCGGCAGGTCTGTAGGCACAAAAGTACTTGTCGCAGATAAATTTGTGAGCTAGATTCGTCTTCCACAGCCACACTTGCCTGCCAAACGTGTCCGAGATCCCTTCGTGGATGTTTTTACCAGAAACCGCTGTGGACTTTCAGTTGAATCGTGATGAGGAGATGCGTAGACCATGAAAGCAGTTTGGTGCTTCTGCTAAACCATTGCAATATTATTTTATTAACGAAGTATTGCTGGGTCAAATTCATTGAAAAGATTCCCAATTTTGGATCCAATTCTACCTATTTACCGTCTCCTACGTGGATATCCCTGGTACGAATTAATTAACCTGGCTTATGTTAGATGGGTACGCCCCCTGTCTTGCACGAATCATCTTGGTGAGGCGTACATTCCATGCGCATGATGAATTCTCGTGGACTTAGAAACCAGGACTAACAAACCACCAAAATGATCAATGAAAGTTTAAGAGAGTAGTGAATGGCGTTGAATCACGCTCGCTGATCCGATCACTCCAGCCTCCGACACAGGGTTCCCCTTTTCGCAGCATGTCACCGGCCGTGCGCATCCTCAACTCCTCACACCTAGGTAGCGATGTTAGCGCATCTATGGCTCACACATCCGAGGTATAAATGCACACGCGTAAGCCCCACACACGACGTCAACTTCGTCAAGTCCCCGAATAAATGGTTGACTCTCTATCCCTCCGCAGACTTCATTCTTGTTGGGTAGTTAGTAGTATATGGCGAAGCAATACACATTTCCAATTTTACTCGTCGACAATGTTTGGGTTGCATATTTGGAGGTTGGGGCCTTGAGAGGCGAATTATTTTGGTGTCATGAATTTCAGGGTCTGGGAGAGAATTTCCGTGTCATTCTTTCGAACCACCTGGAGTCCCCAGGCTGTGATGTCGACGTTTGGTGTGGTCATGGAAACGATTGGTGAGTTCGGGATGAAGTAGGAGAGGGAGGAGGAGGCGGAGGTCAGCTGTAAAAGTTACCGAAGGCTCAGGAAAGAATTTCGTGCTGTGTCGACTTACGAAAACGTTCGTACATCCATCTGCAAATGTTTCAAGTCCCCTAGCATCAAACCCAAAACAGTGCATTTGATACACAGTCGCCAATTGTTCTCGAGTACAACGTAGCGCTCAACAGGGCACTCGCTGACCCAAGACCTTAGTTCACGCCAAAGTGAGTTGAACCCAGGGGTCAGCTGACGCCCGGTTTCGATCCGAGTTGTGACCACTCGCTGCACAGGGCGCTTCTATCCTCCAAACGAGCATCGATTGCCGTCCAATCCAACGACTCCAAACGACGCAAATGAGGCTCTTTCGAGTCAGTTTTGCAACGCTTGGCAAACAGTAGCAAAGTCGAAATGAGTACAGGCGATCGTCTCGTTTCACCAGTAACCAACAGCAGCACGCGGTTTGCAAAGGCTCCGACTGCGCCCTGTCTGTCGCTAAAATCTGACTCATTGTCACCGTCACATGAAACTGAGGAGGCTAACGAGTGTAAAAGCACGCTTTATCCAAACGCCTCTGCGACTGACAACGATGGCACAGCCTTCGACGCAGTCGTTATCGGAGATCCACGCCTGAATCTCGACCAGTCAGTCACTGGTGGTGGTTGTGGGCAGGTGACAACTCACAATACCCCGATCGGCAGCATTCGGAGTGATCGTCATATCCCCTTTCCGGTGTCTACAGCTCCGCTGGCTTCGACACCCGCACTGGACACCAGCCATTCTGAGATTATGACCGATTTTCCCGTTGACACACCAGTAATTTCTACTCAAGAGATTGCAGCCCTGGAACGAATAGACAAGGAGGCCATTCAGCCAAGCGTTGTAGTTTTTCGATGCCGTATATGCTACGAGGAGGAATCCGACCCAGAGCCACTGATGTCACCGTGTCGTTGTAGGGGGACGGTTGGTCTGCTTCACAAGACCTGTCTAGAACGCTGGCTCCAGGTGTCGCAGACTCTCAAGTGCGAACTCTGCGGTTATTCGTACATTCTTCGACCGAAGACGCCCCTCCCCACACCGAACACCTCAAAGGGCTCCCCGACGACAGTGATTGGACAAACGGACTTCTTGCGTGATTGGTTCCGTTCTCGTTCGGCTCGGCGAAATCTCGCTACTGACTGCGTGTTTTGTGTTCTCTTAACTCTGCTGACAGGTATTGGCATGTACTTTTGCATCACAGCGATGTCGCACTTCACGCAAGCCAACTCCTTCACGTGGCAGGTACCAACGCTGATATTTCTTGAAATATCGCTGATGCTGATCCTCCTTGTGTGGATTATCTTGGCTGGGAGGCATCACCTCATGGCCTACATGTCCCACAGGCGTCGTGAAGAAGACCGCATACGTGAATCTTTCAGCCGACGATCACTGGAGCGTCGTTGGAGGTTTTCAGTGCATCCGGGGTCCACGGAGTCCTCTTTTTCACACCAAACCCTCACCCCAACTTCACTGTGGTGCTGTGAAGGAAACGGGATGACACAGTTGGATCAGCATTGCTCCCCTCAACCGGATATCGTCGTCCCGACCTCTAGCCTCTATCCACTGGCAGAAACAGAGGAGAATAATGACGCGGAAACGCAGCCGCAATATCGTTTCAACGTGGTCTAGTGTGCGTTACCTCAATGCTCAGGTCTTGATTCTTTCATCTACCTCTCCAAATGCACCTCGATGCACTAAATAAATGCTCAGTCAACATTCTAGGTGGGTTGTATGAGTCTTTAGGATGCTAAGCGAAAGTGGTTTCTACTGGTGACACAAGGGAAGGCGAAATCAAATTGCCACGCCTCTCTGACAGGGCGGTTATTAGTTGAATAACCATAAAAGCGTAAATGGACAGCGGTTTCTTTGGTGAGTGGGGCTTCGAGGCGTGTAATTATGACACCCGCATTCACGAATTGACATGTAGAAGCGCGTGTGCCAATTAACCACACAGTCTGCTGTCCACACCCGTGCAATCTGAGAGCAAGGCGGGGAGGTGAGAGGCCGCGGACAGGACGACGCGGACACAGCCGCGTGCTCGTCGACCGGGCGTGACGTGTTATCGTGTGCGTGAGTGCATGCGTGCGTGCGAGTGGACCTGTTTATCGAGAACGTGGGGACACAGCGACCGAGAGAATGGCGAAGCTGATTAGTAATCGATGTCAGTCAGGTAGAGGAGCCAACAGCGAACTTGTTCGGACAAGCTTCAACTCGCACGCGTCCGCTGGCTGTCCACGCCAGTGTCCACGGTGCTGCGAATGCAGAACGTGCTCGCAGAACCGATCGGTTGATGCTTTGGCGCTTCATTTGTCAGGATATCTTGACACGCCTCCACCGTGTTCGCATGCCAGGCTTACGTGAATGCTCAGAGAGTGACAGATGGCCTTGGAGTCTGGCAGCACCACTGACGTTGAGTCAGACAGTCGAACGCATTCGACACGGGACGAGCAACTGTGGTAAACAGAATCTGTTTCCACCACTTGTTGCAGAAGCCAGCAGGACTCTCTCGTGATGTTTTCGTGCTGGCAAGCACACTCACGCACACACACACACACACGCGTGCGAACATGTTGGGACTCAACGCGGCTTTGAGCATTGCCCTCGCGTATGGTGGCCGTCATTTTTATGACGTAACTACGTGTCACCGTCATTGACCAATCAAAGTTGGCTGTTTCAGTAGGTAGCCAATCTGAGTGCAGTCGCCTCACAGAATCACACACGTGATGCTTCCTGCTCACACGCACGGCTGATCTGTCTTACTCTGCATCGAAGCATTTTACGCGCTAATGTATATGGTAGCATAAAGATATGTCTAAAATTTGGCTGTTGTTTTAAACATTATTCGACGGCATGAGGCGCCGATATTTGAATATGCTGCTCTGCACGCCTTACTAATATTGTCCACACAACAAATTATTATCACACGAAGGTTAAAAGCGGCCGGGTTTGCGGTGCAGATGGTTTCGGCGGTACAGCACGCAGCCAGCGTGATGGTTGCACGCAGACGCACACAAACGCACAGTCGTGAGTGACGCTATCACCAGGCAACGTGGTGGTTGGACCAAAGCCAAGGCCATCGGTGTCACGTAGGCCGCAGCGAATAGCCGTTCGATAAATGTCTGTGCGACGCGCATTTTGCATTTAGCGCAGCAGTGATTGTTCGTTCAGTAAATTTTGCCTGTACCTGTCGATTCGGTGGAGTGAATTACTTGGTGGGGGGGGGTTTGCAGTTTCGCTTTCGGGGGTTCATGGTAAAAGCGTGGTTCAATCACTCAGACGACGGTGTCTACTTCCACGTAGTTGTGGGTTTCTCGTCTGCTGTTTTATATACCCGTATGACGCGTTCTTAATTATGGGTCGCAGCTAAAAAAGCCGATTAAGTACGTAAGTACATGCTCAGACGTGTCCGCCTGAACAATGAAGATGTTGAGTTAAGGTGAAGGAAGCCAGGTGGTTCGTCGGCCACCGCGACAGTCGTCAATCACACAATTTCACAATTGAGACGACCTGTTAGAAGAGGCACCTACTTACTTCCACTTGGCGGCGGAGGTGGCCGTCTAACCACCATGGGTGTCAGCCCGTATGGACTTATAAAGGTCAGTTGTCGACCCCAGCATGTGGTCTTGAACCACGCCGGGGCCACGGAATTAACCCTGGCCCGATTACGCTTGCCTGATATCCGCAATAAGGAAAAAGATCGGAGAGGACGTGGACACAACCGTTTACTTCAGAGGTCAACCACGTTGGTGTTGTGTCGTGTGTGTGGGATTTGCGTGTGTATATTTATACCTCAAATGTGTGAGTCATACATGCACTAACATCGAGACCTATGTGTGGGGACACTCCAAGATAAATATTCGGTCTAATTAAGGGGGAGTTGAGGATTCGAGCGGCTGGCGACATGCTGCGACAAGGGGAACCCTGTGTAGGAGGTGGAGCGACCGGATTAGGGGGTTGAATAAACAGGATTCACGACAGGTCGACCATATTGCTTGGAGTGGGTTACTGTAGCCAAGGGAGATCCGTCAAGCGTTAAGTGGTATTGTCAACAATCTCAAGAAGACGCAGGCAGTGGAGGGGCTAGTTGGCGTTCTATTTTTGTTACTTAGAATTAATTTCGGGTCCCCCCTCCCACTACGCCTTCGTGAGTGGCATCAAGTGGCGTGCAGAAAGCCTGTCTTCAGCCCAAATCACACAATTTCACCGCAACCCACGTGTCACCCCACGCCGGCGTGCTGTCTGTTTACGCTGTCGGCACTCGCTTTGCTCCTGACGGCCTGACTTGACGCGTTCTACTGTTTAACTTGAATCCTCCGCTTTAGCCACTAATAAATCTGGCATGGTCATAATGCTGAGCCGAGATAATTCAATTAAGTTAATGAATTCCCGAAAGCCTAAGAGGAGATGCGTGGAACACCAATCACCGAACTAACCTTCAGGTTCTGTGTTACTGGTGATGCTTAGCCTCCCGCTACAGAATTGGCGGGGTTAAGCGAGGGACTCACAAAAGAGGTGACGGATTCATGCATATCTATTTGCCACTAGTCAGGCTCGCTAGAAGTTGTGCGTCCCCGTACTTAAATGCAACTATTCCATCGATTAGACTGCCAATATTTGGGAGGTGAATTAGTAGGGGAGTAGGAGAATAGTTCGCCTTCTCCTCTCGCATACCGCTGAAGCGGATCAGTTGAAATTCTGCACGTGAGGTCATTAACGTCGCATTAGCGTGCTAGTGATGACCTGTATTGGATACCACCACAAATTACTCCCTGCATAAGTCGATGTGAATCATGAAAGAGAAAGTAAAACGAACACCACGATGCAGCAGTTGCAGCTTCAAGTTAAGGTCGGGAATAGTTCTGAGGGTAAAAAAGTGTACAGCAAAAGCACAGCCCGTCTCTGGTTGATCAAAGAACAGTTATGCCACCCTGACAAATTCCACTCATTCCAATGAGGCCGTCCTTTCACGTATCTAACTGATGTAACTAGGACCTAACGCCTTCTGTGATACACAAGCGTGTTGTAGACTACGAAACAGCAAATTGCCGACAGTTCTGAGCACTTGTGATTTGTCATCACATCCAAACAATAACCGCGTGGTGGAAAGTCGGTCAAACTTACGCATCCTGATTCACAAACAAAGGTCCCGGTCGGTCGTGTAATCATCTAACGAAACCTATCACTGCGTCTGATTAACGCAACAACACAGAGCACGTGCCGATTCGGCAACAGAGCAGATTAGGAGTGACTTTAGTGGTCGGAAAAAAAGCTAGAACTTGACTTGACTAAGAACCTAGAAGGTACTATTACCTACCTCAAATCCACTTTCGCTTTAGCAAGAAACAAGGCACGAGTTAAGAATACTCAATCCTTTGTGAGAACTCGGTCGCATACGTTTCACGAAAAACACATTTTTCCAAATTGGGTTTGCTGTAAAGAAGTCGAAGAGTGTAGAAAACTACATTTATTCGTCAAGTGCTATTGAAAGCGTCACGATTGCAGAGGTCATTTACTTAGAGTGGACATAAGGCGCCACGCATGACTTGTAGTCAACAAGTTCCTCTTTTTTGAACCACAGGGCAATCTCGCGGTTAGCGGTCTCAACGGCGTCAGAACCATGCACAATGTTTGCTCCTACGCACTGACCAAAGTCGGCACGGATGGTTCCGGGAAGACTCTTCGCCGGATCTGTTTCACCAAGGATCATACGGCCCAACTTCACGGCCTGTAAAGGGTAAGACAAATTAGCATTAGCACCAAAAAGTGGGATTTTAATGCTTAGGACAAATTTAAGGTAAGACAGACCTGGTAGCCTTCAAAAACCATTGGTACAACAGGTCCAGATGACATGTACTCAATTAGGTGTTTGAAGAAAGGCTTTCCTGCAAGTGCAGCGTAGTGTTCGTTGAGAAGGTCTTCGTTTGCATGCATGAACTTCAGAGCCACCAACTTGAAACCCCGTCGCTCAAAACGTTTGATAATTTCGCCAACGAGTCCACGCTGGACACCATCAGGCTTGACCATAATAAAGGTGCGCTCTTGGAATTCACTCATTTTAGGACACGACACGGCGAAGGCTAAGTTAGGAGGGAGACCGTGAGGACAGCGGCAAAATATATAGCTACCAGTCGACCAATCACCAGAAGGCAACATCATTAACAACATTGTCAAAGAGGTGGAACAAACCATGTAAACCGAAATTTCTCTTTTCGAAATATACTCATTATAGCATAATCATGCAACCAAAAAAAAAGTTCTATGCTAAATGCTTGTCAGAAACATATGCTTGAAAATTGATATTACATTTATGCTAATTTAATGTAAAAAGGCATTAAAAATTTAATTGATTTGTAAAATGCCGAAACTTATATCATGCAGTTTAGTCTTAATCTAAAGAAAGAAATTGTGCTTTGTTAATTAAGGAAATTTACCACTAATTTTACGGAAAGAAGTGACGGATTTGTGATTCACGAATATCTAGCATTTGTCGACAATTTTAACAGTTAGCGGTAATTTTGAAACATATGGAATTGTTTTTTTTTAATAGGAATCAGAATTTCGTACCGATTGAGCTGTCGATCGTTGTTTATTAAATTGTCAATCCAAATTACAAAGGAAATAAATGGATTAAATCATAAAATTTGAAAATTGAGCCTTTTCCTAAACTTTACTCATGAGTCAATTCTTTTAGGCTTGATGTGCGCAATAAAATAACTCGTGACCATAAAAAATTCCTTTGCCAAGCTACCGACCAAATAATATCATAAGTGCCTCTTACCGAATTTGTGGATCTTTGAAAAATCACCTGTTTCCTAACCTCAAAGTTAAGGAGCCAAGAAGTGAATTAACATCAAATAAAAGACGCTGCATTTAAAAACACCGATACAAGCCTTGCAACATAAATAAAAATTCATTGCAATATTAAGCAAGCATGTTGATATTTTACTTAATTGTTCCTATGACTATCTCGTCAGGTAGGTTCCACCAACACTGCTTTGGACTATGCTATCCTATCTACATCCGAGCGATATGAAGAACTTAAATGCAATTTGCATATTCTAATAATCAAAATATCACAAAAATCAGTGAGTTGTACATTAGAGATCAAAATGTACAAAACAAGTATAGATAATCGAGGAAAAATTCTTTGATTCTACGATCATATTCTGCACATATTACACACGTAATTATTGGTCTTTGCACCTCTACGGTAAAATTTAGCTTAGAATGTGATTTAAACTGGATTTTTGTGACTGGCAACCAAATATACCAAGCGCCATATTTTATATCCCTGAACCCACGCCTATGAGTAAAATGCGTAAAATTTTTAGTTAACCAAAAAGAATCAAAGTTTGAGAAGTGTAAACACATAGTCTCAGGATGTGTGCTTTTAATGGTCCTGTTACGCTACCCGTCGCATTTATTTCTCTTATTTGAAATAATGAGCCAATTTTTTATTTATATATCTGCATCACATATAAAAGTTTGAATAAGCCCCTTTATTGATAGTGAATAGGTAAACCAATTCATGTTGAGTTATTTGTTTAAATCCACTCATGCCATTAATTCAGTCTCGTTTCTGTCATCGGAATGTCGCATCCTACTAAGAGGGTTCGTGTGGATACAGCGGCTGTAGCCACAGCGCAGTACTATAATACCACCGGTACGGTCCCATCTAGTTTCCAGCTTTCCGCGGATCTGTCATATCTCATCACCACCCAGCCGAATTGTACGATCGCTGCTTTTGAGTTGCCTCAAGAATGTACTGAAGGCATGATTTACGATGCTTTTACGCAATACGGTCAGATTAAAAATGTTCAAAAAGTTTGTGCTGGTAGGGCTGCTTTGATTGAGTTTCCAGAAATCTCAACACCTACACGTCTGGTCCACTGGGCCAAGATAAATCCCTTTTTTATTGGCGTTTATCGTGTTCGCCTTGAATTTTCGTCCCAAACTATAACTGCTCCAGCTAACATAGCGAAAAACGTGTCTAGTGAAAACAGTATGGCTACGGATACCTCGCCCAATAACGTCCTTCATCTTGATATTGCAAATGCGGAATACCCCATAACCGTCAACGTTTTGAAGGCAATATGTTCTCGTCACGGGACTCTTCAGAGAATATTTATTGGGAGATTGAAAGTTGATAAGTCTCTGGAAGCTTTGGTCGAGTTTGCTACCGTCGAAGAGGCGAAGAAGGCCCGGGAGCATCTTGATGGTGCAGATATTTATTCTGGTTGTTGTAGTCTTACAGTTAATTACTCAAAAATGAAGAAAATTCATGTTACCAAAAACGACAATGAGCAATGGGATTTCACGGAAGTTAAGGAAGGTCTCTTGTCCAGCGCGCCTACGGGTCAGCGAACTCTTCTTCCCAATGCCACTAATGGTCATAGCGAACAACCAAAACCCTCGCCCGTGCCTCAGCCGGCTCCGATGCCTCCTGCTGCCGGCCCACCTGTGCCTCCTGTCCCGCCAATGGGCTACCAGCAGCCCTACTATGGTTATTCGGCTCCTCCCGGCCAGTACATGCAACCACCAACCTACTATCCGCCCATGATGCCAGGTCAGCCAATGTCCAACTATGCAAGTCCAGGAATGTCCTATGGTATGCAGCCACCAATGCCGTCTCCATATTATCAACATCCCGGCTACCAATACTACCCGCAACAACAGCCTAGCCAACAGCAGATGCCTCCTCAAATGCAAACTGCGACCGTCCGTACCGCTCCCCAGATAATGCCAACGCCACCACCAGTTCACCATGTCACACCTGGGGGAATCGGTGTTGGGCACTCTACTTCTAACCTCAACTCCACCTCGGTGGCTGCCGCGCGGAACACCGATATGTCAATCTTCCACGCAGAGAGAGGGGCCGTTTTGGTTGTGAGTAACCTGCCGGAAGGGATAAATTGCGACCATCTGTTTAACATACTTTGTTTGTATGGTAATATTGCACGGATAAAATTCCTGAAAAGTCGGCCTGGTTGCGCGATCATTCAGATGGGATCGAAGGAGGCTGCTGAGCTAGTATCACAGAACTTGGAAGGGGCATCGATCTTTAACCAGATTATTCAATTCCACCAAAGCGAACAGATTGAAGTCCAGGAGCACGCTGGTTTGGGGACGTTACCTGATGGTTCGCCTGTAATGAAGAATTACATGAGTAAGTCTTATTCTACCGGTTTATCTGGAGACTTATTTCGTTCTTTAAACGCCTCTTCTTCTTTTCAGCGGATTCAAACAATCGATTCCGGAATGCTGTTGTCGCTGCTAAAAGCCGGATCTTGGCGCCAACAAGAACGCTTCATTTCTTTAATGCCCCTCTCAACTTCTCCCCGGAAGACATGTGTCATGTTTTCTCTGATTGCGGCGTTAAAAGGCCTCCACGTATAGTGGTTTTCACGGCTAAACCAGGGCAGAAGACTTCGCTTGGTACGTCCTTTTTTACTTCGATAATATGCTAGTTATTGGTAATGTGCCAAGTTCAACTTGTGCCATCCTAACCTAATGCTCTGCATGTTGTATTACTCTTGCCGCTGCAATCTAGGCATTTGAATTAGCCCGTGAAATGCCGATTATGAGTCAATTTATCTTCGATTTTGCCTAGGTCTGGCTGAATGGGACACCCTGGGTGAATCACTCGATGCTCTTGCGCTTGCGAACCACAGACCTATACACATTGTTGGCTTTGCCCATCCGTTTCACCTCAAATTGGCATTCAGCCCTAAGCCGATCTCAGATGATCGCGCTGGACAGAGTATGATTAATTATCCAGCACCGCCTATGCAAATCAGTCGTGGTCCTCAATTGAACACGCCTCGTGTCATCACGGTTCCCCCTCCTGCGCCGGCAGCCAACAAGGACACTCCTCCGCCCCCTCCTTTTGACGTCAAGGCCGTAGAGGCTGAGGAAGCAGCCTATTTAGAAAACCACCTTGGTGTTAGCTGCGTCAAAAGACCCAGGTCGCCAACTCCACCACCTCAGGAGTCCGCGGTAGTTGTTCATCAGCCGCCAAAGACTCCTGAAGAGGAGGAGGAGGAAAATGATGCAGGTAATCCAAGCCAGCGTGAATCTCCCCTAAGCCGGCAAGAAGAATCCCCCTGTCGACAAGAAAGTGCATCGCCGCAAGAGCCGAGCGATAATGATGATGATGGTGGTGGTCGTCGTGGTAGTGTTAGTGAAGAAGAAGAGGAGGAGGAAGGTCCGCAGTTTTTGCGCAAGACAGTCCACCAGCCACCGGCCACACCTCCGTCGGAACCCTCCAGCCCCTCGTCATCTTCACCCCGGCGTGAAGACGGGGACAGCTAAGCGTGGTATCCGATTTTACTTGTCTCTTTTTACCGTCTTACTCGCCTTATGGCTGAAATCATGACGTTATAAATATGGTCATTTGGTGCAGTTTTAATACAGAATTGCGATTCACGCGATTTCATTATCTACGTGTTTATGCTTCTTAAAGCTTGGGTTTTGCCGTTTTTACAGCCAAAAGCCTTACAAAAAGTATTTCGTAACTTGCCTTTTAGTGTGCACCTCTCTCTGGAAAAAACACGAACGCAGTGGATTTTAAATACACAACAGTGAGCTTGCCGTAATCCACAGAGTTTAAATTCTCATGCGTCAATCATATATGCGTTAAAGCTATCTTGCATATATCCGTATATATGTGTTATATCTGTGATACAATTAGATTTCCGTTTGTGCATCATTTTATCAACCATTTGTAAAGCAATTCAACTAAAGTTCATTTTCAGTTTACTCGACCTTTTTGGAGCTGGAAGTCATTTTATCACAGAAATGCTAACATTCCCGGAGTAACGGTGCGTCCTTTCAATTAGAAGTCAATTACTGTTCATAAGTAGGACTTGTTGCTGTGTTCCTCGGTCGGCGGTATTGCCGCAGATCGAGGAGCGCCAGAAATGTGTAATTTCACTCAAGTTACGAACTAATTAACAGTTATTGCTTGCTATCTTAGGGTGTGTGCATCATTGAATCGTTACCAGAGTAGGCCATGTGACTTCCTTAGTGAATTTGGGTGCGTTCTGTGTCGATTGCGTTTTACCCGGTTAATGCACTTTTAATATACACATTTCATATTGTTTGATATCCAATATTAAACCCTGCCTTAAAACTCTTCAACATGTCTACAAACGAGGTCTGCCGCTCTTCAGGTTTTTCGTGTAAGCAGTGCTTTCTGAATTCAGTTAATTGGTTCGATATCTTGAGCTGTTACCCAATTCGACCCCATGGTCTATGGGAGTTTGGCCCCACTAAACCTAGCCTCAGGTAGAAATGTGTGGACACCCAAGGTGCCACCGTGGTACCACTTCTGTGGTAACTCTTGTTTCGTGTATTTTTGGATTTTTACGTTTTTTTAATTACTGAAAATAAATTTACTGGAGGACACTGTTCTCGGGTTGTTATTTTTACAACGTATGGCGATGCTGGTTATGCTCCCTATCGTCGACAGATGGGGTTGGTGTCCGACGCCGGGTTTGTGTCTGCAACCAGTCAGTTTGGTAGGCAGTCCTAGTTGTTAGCGAAAAAGATCGCTGTTTTCTGGCGTCGTGTTGACCGGATTATTCGCGTGGATGACTTGGTGAGCTCGAAACGCGTGTTCGATGCCATTCACTGGGCTTCTCGCTCTCGGAGCACTGTTTGGCCAGGGGTCGTGTCGTTCTTAACCGCACCGGGAGGCACCAAATGGTGGACGCCTGTGAAATTGCTTAAAATAGTAACTTCCTGACTGCCTCTTTTTGCTTGGGCCCAAATTTTTGCGTTAGCAGTAGTGTAAATAGCAGCAAATTAAAGTTAGCTGATACGCTAGGTGATCTGATTCGTTGCGTCAGTGATAGAGCTTCATGGTGATGCTGTGTACGTCACCCTTAGCCACGAATTTGCACCACTTAGTGTGTTACTGTTTGGTGGTTAAAACGCGATGCTTTGGGATTGTTTTCATGTCATGATCGAGGTTAGTTAATTAGGCCGGCATCTGCGCCGCACTGGAACCTGCCACGTAAGCCTTTTCAATCCACTTTGGCTAGGGATGTTCGACAAGGTGGCGAGGTGGTCGTCAGTGAGTTGACTTGCTTCCTTTTAGCTAATTTCTGGTCGTATTTTTTTTGTTTGACCGAGAACTCAAGTTCTCGATGTGATGTGTGATCACCTAATGACAATTTATGCCTCGTTCTTGATCACAAGCAGTTGTACGTGGAATTACAGGAGGAAGCGCTGTTAGCGGTACTCAGGTTGAGCAGTGGCGAAGACGAAAATGGCAGGGCAGTGCGACAGCTGACAGCATGCGAATAATTTGGTAACCGAATCAACATGAAGAACATTAAAGAAGATCCGGAACGTGAATGAGTTCACGTGTTATCCCTAAACAAGGAATATTGCGACAGTGAACAGTGTGTGTATACAGTATTTAGATGCTTACTGCCGATGCGCGATCTGAACAGTGTTCTAACAGAAGTCAGTATGGAAAAACAGTTACGAGGAATAACATGACCAATGTTGCAAGTAGGCTCAGTTTACTTCCGGGGATGCAGTTGTCGACAGCGCTAATCTTTGAATGAATAAGTTCGTTTTACTAACAAGCCGTCAGTACTATATTTTGTTGTGGGTGGAGTCGGGGTCGTCTGTGTTGGCTATTTCTGGTGACATCAGTTAAAGAGAGCTGTGCAAGTGCTGGTGAGGGGGTTGGATTGCTCAAGTCCAGCACAAATCTTAAGGCTGCATCGGCAGAGTCAGAAAGTGGCGTGAATGCCCCATCGTTCACAGTTTTGTAGTCTTGGCAACTTGTGGTAGTCTTGGATAGTCAGTTCTCTGCCGGGATTACTACAGTGGCTGCACTTCCTTCGCTTCTGTGACCCGTTAATTACTAGTAGGCGTTGTTAGCGGACATTCTTTGCGTTTGATGAGCTACCTGTCATAGATCCCTTTTACGGAACATCAGGAAAATGGACAGTGCAATTGTGACAGTTCAAGTCCGTGTAATCAGGACAGTTAGCGATTGCTAATTATCGGGGAGGCTGTGAGTTCACTAAAGCTTGCTCTCTAGGTTAAAGTAGTGGTCAAATTGTGCAAAAGCGCTACGAAGCTAAGCAGTTTGCTTGTGCGTTTCGACTTGTTGATTCTCTGGTTCGTCTCCTTCAAAGGCCTGCTCCATGCTTGGAGGCCAATGCCTTCCGCCACACGTGATGGAGTATTGTTGCTTCATAAGTAGGACGTATCTTGGCGTTTGCACAGTCTGAGTTTGGCGAAATGCGGTACTACGAGTGTCATTTATACGCAAGGAAGTCGTGCTTCGCGTTTCTTCTAGACTGGCCTCTACTTTGTAGTCAGCCACCAGCAGGCTGCGCGTTCCATCGTGGCGGAGGATCCAGATTCAGGAATTTGTAATGAAAGCTATTTTGCCATAAAACTCGAAGCCATCATCTCTAACAGCACTTTAATTCCAACTAGGAATTTCCCTCGAATGCCCAATTTTACTCGGTAGTGAGGGGTATTAGTTTGTAGGGCTCATAATTGTGTCTGTGTGGGGACGTTTGTAGTATTTTCGTCACACTCGCACACCCCTTAAGCCGGTCGCTCCGTCCTCCGACACAGGGTTCCCCTTTTCGCAGCATGTCGCTAGCCGCGCGGATCCTCAACTTCCCCCTCATTCACACAATTATTTATCTTGGATCATCCTCACACCCAGATCTCGATGTTAGCGCATCTATTACTCACGCATCTGAGGTATAAATACACATGCGCAAACCCCATACACAACGCAACGACACCACCGCGGTTGAGCTCGGAAGTAAACGGTTGTGTCCACGTCCTCTCCGATCGTTTTCTTCATCGCAAACATCAGGAAAGCGTAATCGGGCCAGGGTTAATTCCGTGGCCCCGGCGTGGTTCAAGACCCCATGCTGGGGCCCACAACAGCGTGTGCCCAAGTCACCCCAATTGTAATCGCAAAAAGGCTGGCCAGAGCTCCGAGGTAGTAGAGTTTTGAAAACCCAGCATAACATCTACGTGTTAATTTCGACCTGTTCTATGGCAACGGCCATTTCAAATTACCCGCCTGGGGTCAGTGCAATACTTAGATTCCGCTACCGAGGTCAAATACCTCATGTGTGAGTGAATGTGTTAAGAGGTTTTTAAGATCTGCGGGCTCGAGAGAGAAAAAAAAAGAAACGATTTGTGTTTAAATAACCCGCATATTTGTGCTGATGCCCTTCGCAAAGGCTAAGAAAGTGACTATCAACATTGTTAAGTCACCGCTTTAAGTAGACATCGAGACGACACCGGGGACGTACCGATTTCCCTTTAATCGACCGCTTTTCAAATCACCGGCGCCAGGTCAGCCCCTTGGGGTTCTAGGTTGAAAGTTGATTGGAGGTTGAATTGGTACAATTCGGTATTATGCGTAGAATGGTTTAACTAATTACAGTGAGACGATGCACAAGAGTAGCTGGGGCTTTTCACATGAACTTCACTGGCTGAGAAGCGAACGATCCGTGGCTAATTTTTGGCGGACACGTCGAAATGCGTTTACGAGGCAGGAGGACATGTAAGTTGGAAATCCGCCTCAATCGCATCCCGTAGTGTTAAACTGATTGAAGGAGTAGGATCGTGCCTTACGCCTACGCAAAGTTACCCATAGAAAGCAGTTTAGCATGCTGTCCAATTGACCAAATCACAGAAAACAAGCGGATTTGTGTAATCCCCAAACAGGAAGAGCTGTATGATTTAATTTTTTGAACATTTTTCAGAATATTCATTTAATATACATGAATAGAGAACCGCCGCCAAAGGAATTCACAGGCTTCAAGACAATTAAGACATGGCGTGATGCATTGACCGAAACAAATGGTAGGCAGGTGGGTCAAGTCTGGTGAATGCGTCGTGTGTGGGGAGAACTTCTCGCCACAAGTTCAACACGGTCTTCTGAGTCGCGACGCGAGCAATATGACGTGGTCGAGCGTGGCCATGCAACAGCACCAGTATGACTTGCCTGCTCCCTTGACCAGTTAATAACCCCTTCTGATTAAGTTGACTGCTCAATTTATTCTACTGTCAGCTGTCGCGTTCCGCAGTCACCGTCTGACGGCCAGTTCCCCGAAGTTCGTTGTAACGTACACCACTAATGTCCCCCCCCCCGATGACCAGACACGCAGTAGAACCCTCGTCATGTGGATGTCGTGTTTTGGTGTCGATGTACTGGGTTACCCGGGGTCTACCCACGATACCCGAGGTACATTTGGGGTTCTCGTAACTAACACACTTCTCATCGTCCGTCGCAATTTTCCACTAGAACTTCATTCACTGCTTGTTGCCGGCGGGCAAGCAGTGAAAGGCGTGTGTTCACACGTTGATGTGGGTTGTGTTTGGTCGACACATGTGGGGGGACCCAAGTTCCGCGTTTTGCACTTTTCCCACTTGGTGGTGCAAACACTTCGATCTACCTGTTTGGGTGACTGCCAACTGAGCTGCAAGCTCTCTTGGCATTTGAGTTGGGTCTTCATCCACTAGAGCTAGCAATTCAGCATCTTCACACTTTCGAGGCTGCTGTCCGGAGTGTGGCTGGCCACCAACATCGACATCACCACTTCTAACACCCTCGTAAGAATAATTACACATTCCATAAGACACAAGGTTGGTACCAAGAACACTACATATTGATTCTAGCGTGATTTTGCAGCATTTTTTTCGGGTTGGAATTCGTAAAACCTTCAGCGCCATCGAATGTGGTGTCTACCAGTTGCCATCGTCGTGAAGTCTGCTACTCTGAGAGGTTATGTAACTCAAGCCGACTTGGCGCTCGCTTTTCTGAAACCTTGCGTCCGATCCGCTCAAAACCACAAAAGACCGCGGAAATATTTACATTTTAAATACAGTTATTTGCGCAAGCCCCAAAATCCACTGACCAATAACTGGCATTTCGAAACAAATAATTGCCCAAATGGCCCGAGTGCAAATAACTGGGGTGCAGAAACAAAGGCATTAAAATCTACTAAATCATTTTCACAATCCTCGGCACTTATTTCTGACCTTAAGGCGGGAAATAAAGCGTATTCACGTAACCAAATTTTATCTTTTCGGGGGGGAATTTTCAGATCCGGTTTTATCGTAAACAGATGCCCTCTCCATTAATATTCCTAAGTGCCTACCGGTAGACGTAATAACCAGGCTAATGTCACCTCTTAACAGACGCGCAGAGCATTCTGATTGGTTGTGCAGTGGCCAATTGCAAGTCGGTGTGCGCAGCACGTGAGCCAATCAGCTGCTCAGCCGTCTGGAGCAGAAATAAAAACCACGGGGATGAGCGGGTCTGGCTAGTTGACGTGCTAAAGACGGTCGGGCCATGCCCTCGTTCATGATTGGCGACATCCTTGAACAGAAAAGCAAGCTTCAAAGTCCACTAGGGGACGATGGCGGGACGCCACGCGGTTGTACTCCCACCTGGCACCTGTCTCCCCCGAAGGAGCTTTCTCCAATGGACCTGTGTACGCGACTCCCCTTCACCGTCACCGCGCTGGGTAATTGGCTCCCCAATCAGCCCCTTCCACCTGACCTTACTAGGGGGTTGCGATTGACACCACAGGACTCCGTTCGTCTAGAAGACGGTGAGTAATTCAAAATAACATTAAATATAAAAAAAACCTGATTTATTTCATGCTTTGATCACAAAGATTGGACCGTGCAGGAATCCTAATTTCGCGTGGATTTGTAAATTTATTAGCTTTAGAACGCATGAGACCTGGTTTATCATGTTCTGTTGTCTCAGATGCAATTCATCCAATCACCTCCCTACATCGATTGATAACGGTTTTTGTTTAAATGGACTTTTATACACTGAAAACGCCTTTTTAATTCACTTTAAGGAATTGTTTGGTGTGTATTTTTATCGATATGTATACGGGGAATGTGCATCGCACAATGATGAGGTCAGGCAAATCTCAAAAATTGATACTTTAACGTCGAACCCAAGCAACCAATGAGAGTAAAATTAATAAGTCGGTTAATCATTGATCGATGCTCTGAGATTTAGCTGGGAAAATGGTTGAACTTGACTACCTGTTAAATTTCCGTGTGCAATTAGTAAGGTGGGTCGGGCAAAGTGCTACTCACCCGAGCTGAAAAAATCCGATATCAGAAATCAACAATCGATACTTTAGCGATGAACTACAAGCAACTCGC